ACCCCAGAGGTACTGCCTGGCCTGCTCTGCCTTCTGCAGGGCTGTGCGCCTCCCCTCTCTGCCCTGCTGTCCTCATCGGGCCTCCTCACCTGTGTAGTTGGTGCCCCTCTGGCTCCTTCTCAGGCCCTGTGAGTACACTGGCCTCCCAGTGGTCCAGGGCTGCTGTCCGTCCCGAGCCTCACCACAGCTCCAAGTTCCTCTTACTGTGCCAGGCATTAGGACATGGACATCTGGGCCACTGCTCACGTCACGACACACAAAGCACCCAGGTCTGCAATGAGGACCGGATATCCAGGTGGGCTGAGGCTGGCAAGAAGGTCTCAGGGTGGAGCCCGGTTGATCCTGGTTTCATCTAACATTCTGATATTTTGTTCACCTTGGGGTTTTTTTGCATTCATTTGTATTCTTTTCATTCTTAAAAACATTGCACTAAGTTATCCATCTTGGTTACTGGGGTTTGGGGCACCTCTTAAATTTTGCCTGGAGGGAGCACCTCCCTCATCTCTCCCTGGGCCAGGTCCTGTTGTGCATGAGTAAGAAGCGTGCCCCACCTTGCACACCCAGCTGAGGCTGTCCTCAACCCTTGCAGGCTCTGGGCTCCTCCAGCCTGGCCCTTGCAGAGCGCTGGGCACAGCTGGCCCCTCTGAGCCAGCTGGTTCAGGCCCAGTCCCCCGCATCCTGGTTCTCCTACCACCCTGGAAATGAGCTGCTGGACTCTTCTCAGAATCTACCCTGAGAAGAGCACAGCCTCGCAGGACAGTCGGGGTGTGAACAAAGATCTGCCACTTACCTGCTGTGTGACCTCTTGGCCTCAGCTACCTTGTTTGTGAAATGGGGATGTCCAGCTGTACCTCTCAGGGGTGCCCAGGGAGGTGATGAGGTCAAGCTGCACCCACTGTCCCTGGCCCCAGGCAGGCAGAGCTGTGGACTGTCTGTGCCCGGCGCCCCTTGGCCGGCTGACTCAGCGCCTGTTGCCTAAACCCCAGACAGCCCCTGGCACACCTGTCCTGGGGGAGAGGCTGAGCAGAAGCTTGGTGAGCAGCATCCAGGGTCCCTGGCTGCGAGGGGCCGGGGCAGCAAGAAGGCAACGGCTGCGGATGCAGGGAGAGTGCTGCGCAGGCTTCCAGCCGTGGCTTGGACGGGAGCCCCCCAGCCCCAGCCTGGGCGACGATGCGCTGCGGGCAAGACGCTACCTGCCGCGTGCCGGGCATTCCAGCGCCGCCGCCCGCCCGCGCCGCCCGCGCCATGGGCTTG